CCGTGTCTACCTGTACACTGAAATACTTAGATTAACATGTAATTTATATTATATTTTTGTACAATTTTGTACTACCAATAAAAAAATTTGTACCCTTACCTTTAAATAGAAAATGTAAAGCAAAGGACGTGTGGTTAGTGAACACTTGCACTCGTAGTGTGGAAATCACAAAATATAATTATACCAAAATATTGGACTGTTTTTATTTCTATTTTGTTCCATAAACGACAAATTTTGTACCCCTTTCTTTCAATGGGCAAACTCAAAACGAAAGATGGACACATGCACCCGACATCAATATTTTTTAGTTGTAATTAAATGCATATTGTTTGTGATATTTTTGTTCCTTTTGCTGTCAAAAATAAAAGGGTTGGTACCACCTTTGGTCTTCGTCGCAATGTAAGAATCTCGGTGGCCTCTTTTGTTCACCCGACATTAATATTTTAAAAACCAATTAAATCTCATTTCGTACTATTTTCTACAATATTATGCCATACTGGATAGTTATACTGAGACACTAACTAAAAACTGTGTAGCAATTAACTGTTTATTAAGTATGGTCATAATACCTCAAGGAAAGTTTTAAGGGTGTCTTTGTGGTATACATTCTTTTGATAGACTGGAGATATTGCTTCAAGATAACCTTAACATTTTGGCTGGGTTTTGTTTAAGGAACATGTTGTTGTCCTTGGGATGTTTAAATTGTTTTACTTCATAATCTAAAATGAAGATATACAGTATAGATCTTCCAACAGTGTTGGCGAACCTCCGTATCATTTATGAAAGATGTCGAACTTTTGAGTTTTCAAATAAATCTAAACTATTTATTTGTTTAAGGAAAATATTTTAGACCAAATTCAATCACACAAATGGTAGTTAGCTTAGTACACAGATTTGCTTGAGAAAGGGGGGGGGGAATTTTATGATTAGACTTACATACCGCACGCAAAATGAATTATTAGGAACATTTTTTATGTAAATCTGATTGTATACAGTTTCTTACAAGTAATTTTGCTTTTGTTACAAACCAAAATAACTTTTAGCTTCTTGTGAATCTTATTCGAACTGTTTGTTGAAAGGATAGTCATGATTTGTATCCATGCAATCCCTTGTAACCAAAGAAATCCTACGCAATATAACGCAAAGCTTATAAAATATTGTCGTATTGAGTTATGTCCACGTAACACAAAAGCAAATTCTCGAAAGGCCAAAGTCTAGTGTTGAAAGCTACTTATGTCATGTATGTGAAATATGTGAAGGATTTGAATGTCTCCGTGGGAGGGAAGATTTCAGCAATTGAACCGGACATTGGTTTGCGATGGGGGGAGGGGGGGAACCTGCCTACAGCACTTGTGCTTATTATTGGCCAATAGAGTTTCCAAAACATTGTAGGAAGAAGTTTACGTCAGATCTAAAATAACTTCTTTTATCTGGCTTTTGCTTTTACATTTCGGCAGAAGATTAGCTCATAATATCAGTAAAAAAAACTACTAGTAGGAGTATTTACTATTTTTATCTTATATAAGACTATTTAAATTATGTAATGTTTTTATAACAATATTTAGTAGATATTAAGTTCAATAGATAACTCATAAATTGAGTCAGGATCACCTGACTGATTTTTTTATTATTTTAATTTGTTTATATGATATTCAATGTTATGGTGAAGCGGTCTGGATCACTTGTCCTGTCCTACATGACGTCAAAAACTCAACGAGCACCAAACACCTCTTGTTTTCTTGTGTAATAAAATTTAGTAAACATTTTTGAAATAAAATTTAGCAAACATCGTTTGCAGCAACTTCTTAAAAATTGAATATCAAAAATCACACAAACATGTTGAACATTTTGAACATCAAAATTGCATTGTTTTTCAAAAGAGAGGTAAGTAATTTATTTAAATATTTCTACATGTAGTTAATAGCTAATGAAATTAAACATATATTACGTTCTATATTCTATTTACTTTATTTCTCTATTCTATTTACGTCCCTATTTTTTTTTTTTAATTGTTCGTCCCACTTATTCGGATCTCACTATTATTTATACAATTGTTTTAAAAAATTTCGTGTCAGTACCTTATGATTTAGTTTTATCATAGGTTTGTAGCTTTCAATATTTTCTGTCGTATTATTGAATTAAATTGGTACGTATACTTTCATCCCACTCTATATAAATGACTTACACAAACTTAAAAGAAAGTTTTAAACTTTCAGTCGTTATGAGTATTTATAGAAACACGCTTTTATAACCCCTAATGGTCTTATAGGTGTAAACTTGGTACTTCTGTACTTAAAAGTTCAGCGAGAAGGCTATTGTGATGTTAGCGTTTGAAATGATAATGGGCAGCAAGTGGGAGCTAAACACTTTTAATAAGTTGGTGTTGTTGGTGCTACGGACATAATAACCTCACAAAACATTTCACACTCCACTCTCCATGACGTGTATTTACTTTATAACAAACTATTTACTTAAAATGTAAAGCAATGTGCCATTGGCAATGTAATAATATGGGTATAAAATAAGTTTTACAGTTCTATAAAACACTCTACAAACTGTAACTTCATATTTATTTTGACCGAAAGTAAATAAAAATACGTCAAAAACACTTTAACCTCATATGGTTGACTCACAATGTGGTAAATACAAAAATTTATTTACAGTCTTGCGAGTAATTAGTATATAAGTGTTGTTATAGATATTACTATTTATTTCCAATAAAATTTAAAACATGTACAATGCTAATAAATTGTTTTTCTAATTTCCAAACCAATGCATTTGTTCATCGTAAAAACTGATATCGTTTAACGGCTGAGACGTAATCTTTAGTTTAATAGCTTACTATGCAATCAAAACTTAAACTTACTTTAAAGTAAATAGCTGTAATATTTCACGTTTTATAACATAAATCACACAAACACAGGTCCAACCGATTGTACAATTGCGCCTCAAGATTAAAGTCTACAAATACAATTAGAGAACGAGTTGTCATTTTCTCAAGTGGATTTCCAATCCTGCAGTCCTCAAGTGATCCACATTGGCTCGGTTTGTTCCGTACATAAAATCACAAAATCAAATGCGTACCAACCTTATATCCTCAGGTAGGCAACACCAACTTTCCATCCTTAAAATAATCGTTGGGCACTTTTCACCCTTACGATCCTGAAGTCCTAAAGTGGTCTATCTCTGCATCAATTGAATTTCATATGGTTACAATCGAATCTAAATGGTACACAATACACAATGGTACAGAATACACCAGTAATAAGGAATATTTTATGACCTTCTGCTTTTAATGGATTACATTTGATGTTTTCTTAAATAAACTACCTGAAAATGAATAACGGTTTACTAGTTTATAGTTGAAATTAAACATACTTATTATCTATCAGAAGCATCAATTAAAATTGTTAAACTAGTTTTCATTTTGTAATAAAAACAATGTACCACTTTTAAATTTGTTCATGGATAATTCGTGTGACCACTCCTCATCTATTCACTCTGTTGCATCACAGTTTATTCTATTTTATGGCTTGCATAACAGGTTGAGTCCCAGCCGTCACACTCCCATGAATGTAGGCCTAAAGCACAGACAATATAATACTTTAATGGTTTCCATTGTCTGTGCCTAAAGCTTCTCAGCACACGGGAGTGAATGTGATAAAGATACCAATTTTTTTTTCTGTTTCTATGTCAACCAAATAAATAACTAAATGGGCAATGTAAAAGTCACTATAAGATTTACATTAAAGATAAAGTTTTATCAAACATTTTCCTTGTAAGCTTGTAAGCTGGTTATTGATACATTGCATAAAACTAAATAGCCTAATAAGTATCCCACGTCAAAACAAAACCAACAACTGTTTATATGTATTGTGTTGCAATTTATCAATAACCAATTTACAAAGACCACGCACGTTTGATAAAACTTAATTGTAATATCCATGTACATATTATAACCTACATTAAAATGTTAGTGCACATACAACAATCATCTGTTACGTCAAGGTCCAGAGATTTGTGATAAAGTTATATAATCGAAAAAAAAACTGAATTACAAAGTATCCAACATCAAATGTGTGCCGGAGAAAACGACTGGTTCTTGACTCATATTGTTTATCAAGGTAATTTTGTTTAAAGATGTGATTCATGTCATAAGTACCAAGCTCATGCTGAGAGATACTTTTTAAGTACGGTATCAATCGTGACAAATTACGTGCAACTATGGATTGGATGGTGTTTTTTCGTTCACAACTTATTTTTTCATACTAAACTAGTTTAGCTAAAAAAAAAACAATAAAAACTATTAAATGATAGACCATAGCCAACCCTCTGGTTTTATAACCAAACAGTAAAGCAAAAATCAACAAATCAACCCTTAAAAAAGAAAAAAACATTTCTTTAGGGTAGCGCTTAACGTCACCAACGTGAAACACTCATTCCTACAAACATAAAACAAGCTTCAGACTATAAAAACATGTTGTGGAGACTTGTACTACTCAATTTCTATAACTATGGTAACTAGTCGTAAATAATTGCTAAATTTACTGTAAACTATTTTTTTCTCAAAATTCTTTAGTGTATTCACTCCTAGTTTCACGACCTTGACATAGAGAAAAATAAGGTACGAAATATTGCAGGGTATTTAAAATTGTACATGCAACAGTTATTTTTTAAGGTAGATAGTTGGTTAGTGTTTATTTTAACCGGTAAGGTTAATTTGAATTTGACGACATGATTCAACGTTAGTTTCTGTTATTTATTCCAAAAAGATTTACTTAAAATCTATAAAAAATTGGTTGTCAATTGACAACAAAAGTAATTACTTTGACGAAACTTTAAACAACCTTTCGAGCTCTAAATTTGTTTACGGCCAAAACCTATGTTTCACACTTATTACCTAAAAAAATGTCAGTTGACTGGTTAAAATAATGTAAAAACAGGAAAAATTAATTATATGAGAAGAAAGTAAAAAGTACCGATTATTTCTCTAGCTCCAGCATGACGACGACTAACATTGAGGTTCCACTGCAGGAGGTGTTCCCACTGTTCCAGTGTTCCGTGTGTCATGGTGTTCCGATGTTTCCACCAGTACACTCCTGTAGTCGGGGACACAATGTGTGCTATTGCTGTATGGACCTCGTGAACAACCGTAAGTTATAAAGTGTATTGCAATTTAGAGTGATGTAATTACTTATACCATTGCATGGGATATGCACTTTTTTCGTGCTATAAACAGCAATGCTGTGTTAGGTTTGAAGAGGAATAATATTCATTTCTGTTTAGTATTTTGAAGCTATATTACTTTGAGCATGAAATACAGATATTTTTTATATCCATGTGTGTTTTTTTAAACCACCAGTAATTAAAACGTATTTGGTAAGGCATTAGTTACAGTGTGGTCTTGTCACTATTGCAGAGAATTTAAATACGAACATTTTACAATTAATTAGTCAAAAAATTTAATATAAGAGTGGTAAAAACATGTTACAAGTATACTAATAATGTGACTCCCAATTTCAGTTTAATTTTTAATTAGGGCTATCCTCTGGGAAAAATATAAAATTTATGCAGACTTATTAACGCTCAGTATTCAGAGCTGCAGTTCTATGTTACACCAATTATTTTTCTAGTCATTCTATTTTTATTTTAAGGAGTAGCAATCGATGTCAAAAATTACGTCCATTCTTTACATAAACTTTACGAATAATCAAAGATGATTTTATTTCAAATAATTCTATGGAAAAACACAACTATTAATTTCCCAGTTTGTTAATGTTAAAATGAAAATAATCTGTTACAATGCTCGAATGCCATAATCTACCATACTACCTGCTTAGTCTATGATTCTAGTTGATTCAAATATACATATTATTGATTTGTCTGTAGATTGTAACGAATGCAAAGAACCGCTCTCAGTGCGGAACACCTTTCTAGAGGAGTTCCTCGCTTCTACAACATTTGCGGAATTGATGAATTCTACCGGCTCAGGTGAGATGACAGTAGGAACAGCTGCTTCACAGACCATGGAGAATATAGTAACTGACGAATGTGCGGCTCAGCTGTTAGTTAGTGGGAGGTACGTGAACATATGGTTTAAAATTTTAAATGCTATCTTATTGGTCTGAATCTTCTATTTTTAATGGACTGCAGTTGATTCACGTATTTAGAGATTTAGTTTCCTGAATGTGTAGAGACCGTAAAGCCAGCCGACATCCACGTTAAGCACAGCAGTTGTTAGTAGTGAATTGTATGCATGCGAACTTTTTACCTAGTAAATACAAATACATTACTTCCTTTTGGATGTGGAACATAGTTGTAATTATAAATGTCAACAGAACTTATTTATATCCTGTTACTCATAAAATTTAGTGATCTTAAAATAATGTGCAGTCAATCAAATAAAATTAGATTAGTTTTTAGGTTAACTTAGTAATTAGATTAACTACACTGTGTTAATGAATTTCCCTCGCAGGGATTTATTTAGTCCAGAAAACAGCTGTTTGCCGCCAGCTTAATCAAATGGGGTTTCATTACGTACTACTGTACTGTAATGAGTTTTTACCGGACACCAACCAGCTGATTGTATTTTAAAATGAGTGGTTATAACATAAACTTAACCTCTTTTAGAGGTTATGAGTAGTGATTATTAGAGAAAATATTAGGATTCGTACATAATGATAAAACATTAAGTTAAGTTAAACGTTAAGTTAAAGTAGTATGGCGTAAAATATCGTACAACACTCGTCCAAAATGTGTTTACCGGACTCCTATGGTAATCCCGTACTCGACTTCATCTCGCACGGGAACGACCACACTCGACCGGTAAACACCTATTTTCAGGACTAGTGACGTAATATACTATTCCAAACCAGCTTTAATGGCTATTGCTATAGCCATATGTGCCTTAGTGACGTCATTTGTTCATGTTTATGATCCATACCGTTTCCATTCCGATATTCGTGGTAGTAACGAAATAAGACGAATCATTAGTAACTGGCACACATGTCAGGTGCACAAAAATACAATAAAATATTGAGCTATTGTAATCCACAGAACAGTCAGTTGTCCGTTCCCCTGCCCCGCGAGGATCACTGCCTCAGGACTCTACAGACATTTCGAGTTTGGCCATCCTGAGGTGCTGCTGGGGATGTTATGCAAGAACAGACCCTTCAACGTCGTCATCCCTGGAGAGCTCCTGGCAGAATGTCCTAGGGTCTCCAGGTGTCTCTACATCTTGGTGGTGGACATCGCTGATGACAACAACGAGGACAGGTATAATTCTACTTATATTAAACCAAAATAATTGTGAATTATTCATATAGTCCGTTTACTAAAATCTTTGGAGGGGGGGGGGGTTAAGGACAAGGTTACTTGGGTTCCCCCACATCTTTTTTGGCTGTATTTATCAGCTGATCAACTGTTGGCTGTTTCAAAGTTTGGGTGAGGTGGAGATGATGGAATTGCTTCCCCTCCATATTTTTGAACAGAGTATACAGTTAATGATAACAATTTAGAAAACAATTTGAATTGCAAGTAGAAGCATGGGTTACCTCCCGCTATCTCCGCGTCCCTCCACCACCGTGTCCCGCATCCTCCGAATTTCAGAGTGACCCCTATAATCCTCGGTTAATACCTGCGTTAAGGCTTTCCGTCCTAACCTAACCTAACCTAACCTAACCTAATCTGACCTAACCTAACCTAACCTAACCTAACCTAATCTGACCTAACCTAACCTAACCCAACCTAACCTAACCTAACCTAACCTAACCTAACCTAGCCCACGGGTTAAGTTTTCATTAAATCTCCCATTTACGGGGCTTCGCATCCGTAGATGGAATTACAGCTACCAACGCAGGCGGTGACGGTATTATAAGGGTCACTCAAGAATTCGGAGGTGGCGGGACAGATTTGGGTTCGGAGGTGGCGGAACGCGGAGATAGCGGGAGCACACGATAGCGGTTATGTAGTTTAAATAAAATAAAGTCAAACGAACACCTACTGCGTTGACGATTTCACAGTCCACCATCCAATTATTGTATAAGAATTTATGTGCTCATTGACCTTGTTTATTTTACTGTTTGGATCTGTTATAACTGTATTAAATTTATTCTAGCGATCTAGGTCTACTAGACCCGTTTTACTGTGAAATCTAATCGTTCGTATGTTTGCTTCCTGGTTATATTATTTTCATGAAAATTTGCTATTTACTTTTATTATTTTGTAGGACTGTTCTATTTTACCTGAAAATATATGGGGTCATTCTGTAACAAAAAAAAACTAATTTAGGCTAACTATTTAAAGCTATTACATATCAATAATTAAAACAAGCGTAGGCCTATCGAATATGTTTTAATAGGTAGTGGATTTTCTCATTCTATGGAAACATTTTTGTAAGGTCCTTATCCCCCCCCCCAAATTTAGAGATAAAAAGCTCCAGACGTAAATAGGCCTCAATTCCAATGAATTGCTAAAGAATGTAGCTAGTTTTTTATCCATATTTACAACACACCTCCAGAATATAAACTAAACTGTTCCCATCAGTGATTTTACTTTGACAATGTGTGTAATGAATGGATGGAAGGATTGGCTACTATGTATAGGCAAAGACTAGTAAATTCCTGTGAATTCGTACAAGCAGTAATTGGTATATGTAACCTGAGCATACAAATTAAAATTTTGATATTTTACAGATTAACAGCATTAAACAGCATGAGTGCTGCGGAACTACTGAGCATAACTGAGAGCATGAGCAACATGCTGAGACGCCAGAAATACCTGGCCATGCTGTCTGTCAGGCCATTGAGCACGTGTAAGGGACTGGCTGCATGGGTAACCGCTCTTTATGATTTCTCTCCGGTTAAATACACTCTGAGATACAACAATGGGCCGAACTGTACTTCGTATCATGGTTAGTGAACTTGTTGGACTAATTTTAGATTGAAGATCTGACTATTCTCTAAACAAAAGTGGAAACTCACAAATTAGTTATCTGTTTAATTAGCTTTTTGAGGAAAAAATTTTTAGAAATATTTCAATAATATACATTTAGAAGTAATGGAAGTAAATAAACTTCAACAATATAGGACACACAATAGGACAAAAACAACAATATGAGTACACTCCAATTGACTGGGCACTCGAGTAGATAGTCTTCGAATTCAAATTCGAAGGTTAGAGCTTCGTCTCGACATGGTTGAAGCTAGACTCAGATGCTACTTGTCTTAAGACAAATAATGAATGGTCCCATCTTCCATAAAATCGGAGTAACAAAACCAGATACTTACAGTATCATGTCTTATTACTCCGATCTTATGGTAGATAGGACCATCGATACTGTTACAGAAAACCCTTTTAACATGGCAATGGTGCAAAAGACAAATCAACATTGATTTATCGTAGTATATAACACAACTATATTATACTATAACACAACTGTGTTAATATACTTCGATGCATTGATTTCACTGTATACATTATACAGTTTAAATTAATATCTATGGTGGTGTTACCCCATCTACTTCACTGTAAAGTAAGGGATTTTTCATTTTAGCGAATTTCCCATATAGGGAATAAGCTATTACCGTAGTACTCATGGTAAGACCTGGACCCGAGACCGATTTAATTTTTCATTTTGAGGTCCCTAGAGGCCAAAAACACCATCCGTTCAAATTCATATATATATATATATATATATTTATATATATATTTATATATATATATATATGTGTCCGTTAGCGCGATAACTCGAGCAAAAATGATCCGATTTTGATGAAATTTGGTACAAACGTGTAAACCTACGTTTATTCGAACGAGTTCGCGATCCAGCATAATCGGACCATGGGAATGGGGGTTTATGGGGGGTTTTATGGGGTAAAAATGGGTTTTTCCCATTTTTGAACCTAAAAACAAAAAATTTTGCGATTTCTTTCTTAACCGTTTTGTAGAGCTTAAAAAAAGAAATAATTTAGTATATTGAAGCGCTGTTGTATGCTTAACGGTCACGGAGAAAATTCAAAAATAGTGTAATTAAAAATTCCCATGTTATTCTTATGGAGAAAATGAAAATTGTTGTAGTTTACTTGTTTATGGGTATATATTGATAAAATTTGGCAAATTTATTTATTTCATCCTATACTATTAACGTATGGTCAAAAAACACTTTTTACCTTCCCCGTAGCAGCAAACCTAAGCACTCGTTAAATCTAATGTTATTTAAATAGGGAATAATATGTCTTATTTATGGAAATATTTTAGTAAAAATGTAATCAGACGAGTTGAAATTCGCTTAGTCTGCAGGTTTGCTGTGGCGGGGGTATTGTTTTTATGTTTGAGGTTAACTTCTGTAAGACTAACAAATAAGATTGGTAACTGTAAACAAATTTCATTACTGTAAATGTTTCTATTTAGGTCGACCCAAGAGCCTTCTGTCCTCTGACGACCCTTTGAGTGACTGTCTGATACTCTCCTCGGCACCAACCTCCTACGTCGACCTGGAACTTACCCTCATCTTCCATCTAGACCTCCCCTTCCCTCGCACTGTAGATCAACCTGAGAAGGAAAATACGGGACCGTGGGAGTTGTTGTATTGACTATATCTGGCTCAATAAATATTACTGATTGGCTACTTAACTGATGGTTTTAATAGTCTACGAGGATTAAAAAATTAAGAATTCATAACAGCAAAAGGCATTTTAAATAAATTTCTGGAAATAAAATCAGTTAAAATGAAATAATATCTATATAGGGAGGGTTTTTAGCATGATACTAATTGAAGGCTACTATACAAATACAAAAAAGATAATGTCATACAGTTTTAATGTTCGTTATTAAAAATAATAACAAACACGTAAAGCTTTATCAGATAAAAGAGAAAAGAACAATAGAATGACCCAAGAGTAGGTAACGTGATGTTATGTCCGGCTAGAGTAAAACAACGAATGTTTTGCAAACTAATATAAAAAAACTAACAATAATATTGAAGAAAAGTTATATAATCGCTAAACGTGTGGTCAAGTAGTAAAGATTACATAAATGCAGATTTTAAATCATTTACACCAAAAAATCCATACAATAAATTGAATAAATAGCATGCCAACCGCCATTATGATCAAATGTTAGCCACAAAAATTATCGAGAATCTGGATTGTCCTGACCTAAATGTAATGTTAAAGATATCGATTATCTAACGTATACCTCTGTTGTACAAATTATCAGTGTTTATTATTTAAATATTGTGAATCATTGATATACAAGTATCAGTTACAGTAAACATTACAGTAACTATTGGGATTTTTGTTTAGTATCTTTTGTCCCTCCAACATTTCCAATCATAAGAGTACGCAGTGCGTAACCTGTCTGAGCGTAAAACAAGAGATTTTTTCAATCATGCTTTGTCAAGAATGAATAAATCCAGAAACACAGTTGATTGTGATCGTCTAAGAGCTGTTATTTTATATCAATATTTGATTGTATTATTTCAGCCTGCGCTAGAGCGGATCTCTGTTTACAATCCATCTCCTCTGACAAGATTCCGCCTCAATGGACTTGATCATCGAACAGCCTCACTGATTGCATTCACGGCTATTTTAATATTGTCTTTTGTGCAGTATGAATTTTATAAAATAAAAAATACATACTTACATAAGAAAAATAACAAGACTTTCTACGAAATAAAGTATCATTATTTACGATCAAATAATGTCTCATGTAAAAATACATAGCCTATAAAGAAAAAAAAAAAAGGTTATCACTAACAGAAAGACGCTATATTCATGTTGGTACGTTTAACAAGCCAGAAAGTATCATACTTGACTAAACCCATTGGCTTTAGGAATTAAAGATTTTTCATCCTATGTGTGTGGTTCATGTTCTGTGTTCGGGTACATTTGATATAGTTAATGTCAACTAAAATCCTACTAATATTGTAAGTGAGAAAATTAGGATGTATGGATGTTTTTGACAAATACTAGACAGGGTTGAAATTTGGTATGATGATAGCAAACACTCCCGATTAACATATAGACATATTCTTATCTGAAAAATCCTTTAGGGCTCCGCCACAGTGGCTCTGGGGTTTCCCATGTTAACCTTATGAGTATTAATATTTAAAAGGAATTAAAGCATTTAGTCAGCTGTTTCAACTGCACAAGTTGAGTTGGTTCTATGATAATAAAGAGCATTAAAAGGTTTACCAACAGGGTGCAGCATTATTATTTATGTGCATTTATGACAACAACTAGCTACAAAAATCTGTGGTACACAATAAAAATCTACTTTTTTCTATGTTTTAGGTGCAGTGGTAGAACATTATGGCTATAATGTGCTATACTATTGCATACCGTATAAATTAAAAGAAAAACATTCTTGAACCGTGTCCTCCCCATAACTACAATAAGAATTTTATACTTATATGCAAACCCCGTACGAAGGACGGGTACTCTGCTAGTGTAAATATAAATAAAAACTCACACCTCAGGGCAGAGACATACCTTCAACTTTTGCATCCTGCTGAACCATAAAGTATGTATACCAACGGGGAGGAATCTTAAATCCACTATAAACTGTATTGTTGATAAATCTACCCTTGAAAATTGAGCTTGCATTTCCTAGCTTTAAAGCAAATAATGGAAACAGTATTTAAATGATTAATTGATAAAAATGCTATGATGAGTTCAATATTAACTCAGCCAAATAATTTTTCAACTGTACAAAATCCTTACAAATGTGTATTCTAAATTTTCTGAAAACGGCATTTGTGAGGGACGTTTTGAGTTAAGAATAATTTTTATCAGGTTTATATACGAATATTGCCTTAATTTTATTAAAATAATTTAACAATATTAAGTTACAAAATATTTCGAGGCTTTACTTGCCATACGTACTTTTTCAACAAAAAAAGGTAACAAAATATTTGATTACGTACCAATAAAATAATAAATTATATATTTCAAATACTTACAATGCAACGTCAGTCAAACGTAAGTAAAATGTAATCAATATCAGCCTAAACAACTAATTTATTCCCGACTGTCCTGAAGCAGCGGAAGGTGAGGGCGGAGGAAAACATTTAAAGACCCTAATTAATTGATTTGTCGGTGCTTAAATAATCCTTTGAACTTTTAATTTTTAAATTAAACGTCGTCCTCTCTACTTCGTTTCTTTACTCTATATTGGCCTCCTTCAGTGTTTTAATTCAATTACCCCGTTTCTTTGGACTGTTAAGACTCCCTTTTTATTTGTTTATGGAAATTTATTTATGATTTAAAATCCATTTGAAACGCGTTAATATTTTATTTAGACTCATAAAAGTAAAATGAATATTCAATGGATTGAAGAAATTTCTCGATGCACATTTTTCTTGTAGTACCTTTCAGCGATGGCTTGGTACACGTAACTAATCGAAACTATGAAGGAATAACATATGCAATATGTTTGTATGTCCTTCATATTATAATTACTTTATTTCATATATTCCATAATACATGTATAACAGTTGGTGTTTTATATTTGATACATTGCGTGATTCAAGTTTAAAAGGACTCGGTTGTACGGACTTGAACTTCTGCAATGGAACGCGATATGAGATGGATAAATATATCCTAAGGAAAGTTATTAACTTTTTGATCGATCAAACCCCAACTACTTTTCAAGAACATTATGGCTTTACTAAATGGGCCTCGCTGATCTAACAGGCAGTCTTAGACAGTAACAAAGCTACACAATACCTCTAACTCCATTCTACCGTTTTACACTCATGTTTGAGTTTAAAAACGCACATAGGTTGCCCATATAGGGAAAACTAAATCTTCTCTTTCTCACAAGATACGCCGATACTAATTAAACAAGTCGACTGACTCTACTTACTTAGGGTTTACCTTCCAAAATCATTATGTTAATTTTATTTGTCTAATTAATTGTCAAATAAAGCAGAAAAGTGCAAAACTTATTAAATAGCCAATACGACATCAACAGACTGTACCGCATCGCCCTACAGTCATCCAGACACTAAACAAACCATTTGATGTTGACCTATTGGCATTGACCCGTTTCTTCTTATCGGTTGCCTTATGATTGACATAATTGGTTTTTGAACACTCAAAGATAATCGGTTGATAAAAATAAATGTTCTATGTGTCGGAATGCTTCATAGACACTTATATATACGTACCCTAATCATTTGATTTCAACCAGATATTTTACCCAGTTATTTACATTAAGTAAGTATGATTAGTTGATATAAATTACTTTTACGTTATAACAAACAGTATTCCATCGTAGTTTTTTTTTTATTTAACTTTACCTACTGGACTGTACTTTTAGCAAATTACTCACATTACCGTTGGTCTCGTGGAAAGCCTTATTCCCGGGACCGATTTACTTTTTAATTTTGATGTCCTCATAGGACAAAACACTTTTTTTTTTCTAATTGTTGTAATTGTATATACATGTGTCCGTAGACATGATCCGTAGTCATTTTGGTCAGATTTTCATGAAATTATGAATAAATGCGTAGACCTGGATTAGAACTTGAATAATTTCTCGAACCAGCAAGATCAGGTCAGAGCGTTATGGGCTTTTGAAAAAAAAGGTTTCTTCAAATTTTCATCCTTAAAATATGGCAATGCTCAAACTTCATTACAGCCATCGTGTAGAGCTTAAAAACAAACAATTTTGAATAAATCATTGTTGTACAATTAATGTTACGGAGAAAATTTCGTACATATAAAATGAAAATTTTTTGGAGAAAAAGACAACTGCTGTTTGCTTGTTAATGGGTATGTTGATCAAAAGAGGCTTATTTATTAATTCCACCCCCTACTATGAACATTTTACCAAAACACCCTTTTTCCTTCTCTGTGGTAGCAAACCTACTTACTCTTTATTTAAATCGGGAGTAATAAGACTTTTATGGATATATTTTTAGTTTAAGGAAAATGAGACGAATTAAAATTCCCTTCGTCTGCAATGTACTGTGGCGTGGTTATTTTTTCATTAAAGGCGGTTAAAAACAAGTACAAAAATAATATTCACTTATGTATAAACCAAATTACACCAATTCACAATCTGATTGACCCCACTAGTCCTTTACCTTGGCAGCAATACAAGAAATACACGATCGCTACAACAGATACGGTAATCGGGAAATATTGAGAATCCCCCTCTATTGCTATTGCTTCACTCTGTCCTCATGTTTTCCTTTGTCCGTAGAAATCTACTTAGAGGAAATCGTATTTTTATTATCTGATGTAAAACTGATCTTCAATTTCCTATAAAAATAACTGGGTGGGTTCTAATAGTATTATAAATATATTTTTAATTATTTATAGGTTTTTTAGTTCTGAAATTACATTGGTTTTTTATGCTCATTAGAACTGAATGAGCCTTCGTCAAAAAGCATTTATTTTAGCCCAAAAATTTCGTAAAATATTATACATAGTTTTCTAAATTTTGTGAAAGTTCGAAAATTAAACGTTTAGTTAGTAAGAAATAATTATCACAGTTATTTATTTTTTCGTCAAAGCATTATTTTCAACCAATAGAAATATTTTTGAAATTTCTAGTATAATTTTACCACGCATTTAAAGATTTCTATAAAATAGTTTCAGGCAGGTGCAAACAGATCAAATTAG